TTGTAGATCACGGCCGTTAGCCAATCAAAATCGAGAATCATCCGTGACAAAATTGGTGCGGCAGCTATGTCCAATCCCGTATCCACATTTTTATAATAAAAATAGATTTGGGCCCTTATTTTTAATTTTGGGCCCGTATTTGTAACTATTTTCATTTTTGGGCCCTTATATGTAAATTCCCTGCACTATAGTTTGTAAATCAACCGATAGGATACACCCCAATATTTTACCCATCCCGCTATATTATCTCAAATTTTATTAAATAGATCAATATTATATTTCTAAAGCTTTACAAATTAACCTTTTATTAATATATTTTTATTTTTTCCTTACAAAAACCTGGTTTAAATTTTAGTTTTGAACCAAATTAGGTTTAACTTGGGTTTGAACTTATTATGTAAAACCCGGTTTTTAGGTTTTCAATTGGGAATCTACTAAAGTTTCAGAGTCTAAACCAAACCTAAACTAACTTTATCATCCCTAACAACACGTTCGCAGTTTTCTAACAATGAATTGAACCGACGTAAAACACCCAAATTTCCAACATCCGGACCTCGTATCGATTCGGAACTTTGGAAGATCACATTTGAATTTGGTATATCATTGCATTGAGATGCTACGGATGTCAAAAGACCTTCAAAACCATCCTGCGAGAATAAACAAATTCGATACAATCTTACATGTAAATAAAGGCTATGATAATAACAATGGTTTCTTACCAAAACTTCTCTTTCCTCATTTCGTGCATTGTCTCGAGACATAACGGATATACGCAATAACTCGAGATCTGATAAAAAAGTGTGTACTTGTTCTAATTTCTTGCGAAACAATACAAATCAAATAAAATATTAATCTTCATATCTGATTCAAAAAAAAGCTATGAAAAACCAACCTTTCTATTTTCTTCATCCATTCTAAATGTACTTCTCTCCTTATGCAACTCAGAATACACCTTATCGTGATGACGTTGTACATTCAAAAGCTCTGTTCTTAGCTGCTTTATTCGCAATTTCGCATTCTGCAATGAGGATCGTAGTGCCATATGCTCATCAACGAGATCCGACTAATTGAAAAAATTGTTATATTTAATCTTATATCTTGCCTAAATCCTATATGCGAAGGAATTATATGGCTTGTGAACTCATGCCCTCGTTCCTCCGACACGTCAGCCAATCATGTTTAAAGTACGTGTAGGAAAATTCACCGAGGAAGTAGCTTTATATAATAAATCTTCCGTGGGCTTGAAATTTCATCACCTTTTTATCTACAAGAAATAAAGCGATAATAACAAACCTGTTCAATCAAACGAAGTTCAACTTCTTGTTTGAAATATTGGAATTCTTTCGAGAATTTATTATCATCTAACTCATCTCTATTATTAGCATTAACATAAAATATTGAAAATTACGTTATAAAATGTTGATTACTAAATTATAACTGACACTTACAAAAACTCATCAATTGTATCATTAATGGCGTTTCCAATAACATCACATTCATTTAATTTGGTAGTGACAGTCCGTTTTGCTCTTCCGTTTTTGCATCCAATCTTATGGCATTTTATCTTTATTCGACCAGTTCTCCGGCGTTGATCGTCAATCCGGATGTCACTATCAGATTCTTGATCTTCAGATGAATCCTGATCACTTACATCTGATGATGATACCTCACTATGTACACCACTCTTAGATGATGGACTCGGATCTGATAATGCAGATCCGAGTGCATCATCTAAGAGCCCATCATCTAAGAGTGTATCGGCTTGTGGTGACTCTGTTTTTTGTTGTCGATTTATTTTTGTAGAATTAGGTGATATTAACCTTGAGGACCACGACATTGGCATCGCCTAATTGTAACATTTAGAAATATCAATGCCGCGTGACTCCGATTTTTCATTATTCTTAAATTTTACCTGATTTCCAGAACGAATTGGTGAAGCATGATCATTAATTGCTATGTTATCCGATTGTTGCTGTACTGTGTTGGGTGCTGATTTTGGTGATTCATTTCCAGGAGACACTACAATTTTGAAATTCCGAAACTCTGTCTTATGTGCACTGTTGTATGCAATTTTGAGTATTGTTTATATACATTTGTTAAATATCAGACTTCGTCGAATAACTTAAAAAGCTCACCCGACACCTCTTCTTCTTGAGAGAAGCCTCTCCTGGTATTTCTGAGGAAGTTGGGAACCTATAAAATAGTTTACTTGGGGATGAATAACTGCCAGAACTATCTATATATACGCGCTGCATAATAGATACAAGCTACCTTCAATATTGGCCATATTCTTGCCTATGAACTGGAAACGAGCATATTAATTGATGGTTGATCCAGATTATCAGATTGTTGGGGATATCTTGTGATCCTATGATCAGATCCGGGTGAAAATTAAATTTCCGGAAAATCTATGGACAGTTTTTTTAGGGACAGTATGGACAATAAAATTCACATGATACCACTAAAACCAATAACCCTAACTGTCCTCACACTATATACTATGTATATATCAATATATTGCCATTGGGTAGTTTGAAAAATCGTGAACCCATTTACATCACATTTTATATATCACATTAATAACATTTGTGTAACGTTGTATAATGGTCATGGTTAGTGATTTAAGCTGGCTAAGGAAGCCACGGCTAAGCTGATATAATGCGATCAGCTGGCTAATACGGCTAAAGATCACATGATTTACAAATAGTAGAAACCTAAAAAGAATATAAAACAATTTTAAAAATTTTTCTGAAATGTTCCGAAAGTAGGCTATTAGTTAGCTATTAGCCAGCTGCTTAGGCGATATTTTGGTTAGCTAGCTAAGCCAACCGATCAAAAATCATGTGGTTTAAATCACTAGTCATGGTTAGGGTTTGTACTACCTGCATAATATGGGTTGTATTACATAATGTGATATAAATGGGTTCATGATTGGTTTTTTTTTTTTTTTCTTTAACTAGCCTCTTTGAGACTAAGGTTTTTATTCAAGTATTTAACGAGTAAGGGCTCATCCCAACCCTGTACATTAGAGAGTACATTTTAGTCATGCTTGCGCCTTTTGAGTGCCTAATTAAGTATCTACCTATTGTTAGGTTTTACACTAGATGTCGTACCTATAATCTACTATTACTTGAGCTATTCAATTAAACCCTCTGTAATGTAACTTTATCTGTATCACCGTTACATCTTTACGAAGTTCCAGATTCTCACCTATATCCTTAGGACTAATTTATCCTCGAGGCATCGTTGCTAAAGCTATCTGTACCCACAATCTGGTTAACCTAGGCTTTCGGTAACTTACACCGAGTCTGAAAACAAGTACTTGCGAGTCAAAGCCACTACTGTTACCTACTACCGCCCTTATCCCTTAGATTGTAGACTAACGCAGGCAAATTTGCCTATGTTGGTACTATAAATATGCTACTGATCTATTTTTTTAACAATTTAGAATATTCAAATAAAATTTGGTATAATAATA